TTTAATTTTATTTTATTACTTTAAGAATGTTAAAATTTAGGACTTGTCACTTTTTTCTTGTTCAGTGAGCAGCCTTTTTGTCTTTGATTTTTCAGTCTTTACAGGTTTTAGAATATAGGGTAATTAAATAAATATATTTATGGAGATTGATTGTAACTTTTTTTTTTTCTAAATAACAACCCATATTTGAATTTTAATTATAAACTAAAGAAAAAAGTTAAATCTATTCTGTAAGTCAGAGATAAAAGTAACTCCAATTAATTTTACTTTGGGTAAATGCATATTTGATCAATTAAAGAGAATAAAGTAGCTGTGCAAAAGGGAATATTAACACAGATTAAATTCAGGCACACTATGTAATAACCTTTCATTTCCTTAGAATAAAAGCATATTTGTACTACATCATAAAACAAAATAAAATATAATTACAGTAATAATAAAGTTGACCTGCTGCTTTAAGTATCTAAAAAAATCTCATGTTACTGCATAAAACACAAAGATAAGGTAATTTGTGCAATTTATTCAATTAAGCTCATGTAATTAAGTACATGTAGAGGTAAATAATTTCATTTTACTGCATAAAGTGACATTTTTTAAATTAATTTAGAATTAGTTACGGGAAATGCTACGGTCCCGTTACGGGACCATTCTGTCGGGATTTGCAACCGTTAGATCATCATATAACCGTCAAGGATAGTTATCTAACGGTTAAAAATCCCGACGGGATAGTTTCATAACGGGATCGTAGCATCTCCCATTAGTTATATGTGTGTATCTAAATTTAGAAAAAAAAAAATAATAATAATAATAATTTTTTTTTTGGTACATGGACCTTCCAGTTTCCGAATCCACTGGGGAACCGACTAATCCGGAATCGAGCCGGGTAGGACCACAAGGGCGGCAGAACTCTTCCTCAAGAGTTTTTAACACTGCTGTATTCTCAGGGCTCGAACACGAGACCACTGGTTAAGCTAGAAGAGACCCAAGCCATCTCATCCAAGCGCTCTTGGGTAAAAAAAAATAAAAAATAAAAATAATAATAATTTGAACACCTTTGGACACATTGGCCCCATATCTTATGTGAAATTGGAAAACTGGTCCTATTATGTATTTATGTATTTTAGAATTTTACCATCATTTCAAGAGATTTTGCCTTTTTTCTCCTATTTAATTTTTCTCTTTTTCAAATTTCCAGGTTTTGGAAGTACGAAACATTGACCGACAAAAAGAAAATTGGAAAACCAAATTAATTATTACTATTAGAATTTGTTACGAGATTATGCTAATTTAACTACGAAATAAATGAAATTAAATTGTAATCTATTGTTATAAACTTATACGGAGTAATTAATAACAACAAAATCATTCATGAGATTACACAAATATAAAATTATATACCTAATTAATATTTATATGATCCCTTTAAAATGTCACTAAGTTCTACACAGTTCATGATCAACACCACTTATTGAAGCAATTATATTATTTGATAGCTTATGCATAATTTCTGGAAATTTGCTTAATTGCAAGTCCACCGACTATTTATGTCACTAAATAAATAAATAGATCAATAATAATAATAATAATAATAATAATAATAATAATATTGTTATACATGTAGAGGTAA